GATTGTCTATTGAAGAAGGGTGTGCCTGAGAAGTTTATTAACATCCTAAAAGCCCTGTATAAAAACACCTCAGGCAGAGTGAGGGCATACAACCACCTCTCTCCATTGTTCCATTCGAGCAGTGGGGTTAGGCAGGGTTGCCCAATCTCACCATTCCTCTTCAACTTTGCCATCGATGACATTCTGGAAACAGCTCTGATGAATGTAAGTAATGGTGGTGTGGATCTGTTGCCTGGAGAAAGACTTCTCGACCTTGAGTATGCGGACGATATTGTCTTACTGTGCGATAATGCCCAAGGCATGCAATCCGCACTTAATCAGTTGGCAATCAATGTCCGTAAGTATGGTATGTGCTTTGCACCTTCGAAGTGCAAAGTACTTCTACAAGACTGGCAGGATTCTAATCCTGTACTCACCCTGGACGGTGAGCAGATAGACGTAGTTGAGAAGTTCGTGTATCTGGGTAGCTGCATAAGTGCTGGTGGGGGTGTGAGTGATGAGATCAATGCACGAATAGTGAAAGCCAGAGCGGCTTATGCCAATCTGGGCCACCTTTGGCGCCTTCGTGATGTTAGTCTGGCTGTAAAAGGCCGGATCTACAACGCGTCGGTGAGAGCAGTTTTGCTCTATGCTTGTGAAACCTGGCCTCTCCGAGTTGAGGACGTTAGACGACTCTCTGTGTTCGATCATCGCTGTCTCCGAAGGATTGCTGACATTCAGTGGCAACACCATGTCAGTAATGCAGAGGTTCGGCATCGTGTGTTCGGGCACAGAGATGATAATGGAATTGGTGTCACCATCTTGAAACACCGACTTCGGTGGCTTGGACATGTTCTCCGAATGTCGTCCCAGAGAATTCCACGTCGTGCATTATTTGCCGACTCTGGGACTGGTTGGAAGAAGCGGAGAGGTGGTCAGTGCATGACATGGTGTCGTGGCATGAAAGAAAGCTGCAAAGGACTGGCTTGTGTTGGTCCTTCACGACTCCCTGGCTGGGGTCCGAGAGATGGTGCTACACAGTGGCTAGAGACGTTATCAGATATGGCTCAGAATAGAAGCCAGTGGCGATCCTGCTGTAACCTTCTTTTACTTTCTTCATAAAAAGTGGTTGTCTCCTTTACCTGAAAGATTTCTTCTGATTGTACCTCTTCGTCATTACTCTCTTTTTCTTTTGCGTTCCTTAGTTTTTTTTCTTTTTCTTTTTACTTCTCTTCGAATTCCCATTGTTTTGTGTGGCGCATATATATTGGCGCTCTCTTGTACCAATATTTATGTGTTCAAATAAATAAACTTTCCAAATTTATTTCACTGGATTATACTCTTTAAATAACATCTCCAAACCCTAATCTTCCCGATTACTGCTTATACTCTTACCGCCTCTACCACTACGGGATTTGAATCGACAACTGCATCTCTGTGCTAATGTGGTGTGGCAACTCGAACTGATGTACGTACGTACGAAGTTCTACGTTGTGACTGACTGACTGACTGAGAACTGACGAGATTACAAAGATATGTGAGGCGGTCGAGGCGTTCAACTACTTTCAAGTGCATTATGGTCTAGATTGGTCACAGAAGTACAGATATACATCAGGAGAATAATACTAAGCTACCTGTTGTCCAGACATGGTGACCTAGGAGTCATCGTCAGCCATGACTTAAAAACCATTACACACTGCCGTGCAACAGCCGCCCAAGGTTTTGGAATCCTACGACCTATATGTAGAGCATTCAGCCATTTCAATGCCAAAATTTTGAATTTGTATACAGTATTCGTCTGTTCTAAACTCAATTATTGCATACAAATAGATAGCTCATGCCCAAATCAGTCAGTCAGTAACAACGTAGAACTTCGTACGTACGTACATCAGTTCGAGTTGCCACACCACATTAGCACAGAGATGCAGTTGTCGATTCAAATCCCGTAGTGGTAGAGGCGGTAAGAGTATAAGCAGTAATCGGGAAGATTAGGGTTTGGAGATGTTATTTAAAGAGTATAATCCAGTGAAATAAATTTAGAAGGAGGAAAAAAGGGACATGAAGAATTCAGAAGATTAGAATTTGGGAGAACACAGAGAGTGGATGCACCTGCGCCATTGCAAACGATTTTGAGCCATGTCATTCAGGGTCTTTAAACATCCGTTGCTATCATCTCACGGTCCCCAACCAGGTAGTCTACAATTACCAACACGGCTCAGTCTACTTGTCAGTGACTTCATGAACTTGTGCCATGTTTTGGTCTGGCCGCCCCTAGCTTTCTTCCAACCTACTCCTATACCATTGCGCATCGCGCGTCGAGGCAGCCGGTGGTTGGGCATACGTAGCACGTGTCTCAGCCATCTCAACTGATGAAGTTTCATTCCTTCATCAATTGATTTGCCATCCTTACCTAGTACCCGTTTCCTAACAACTGCGTTACTTACTCGATGGTCCCAGGATATACGAGCAATGTTTCAAAGACACCTATGATCGAATACTAGTAACCTACGAATATCCTCAATTCTTACCGGCCATGTTTCACTGCCATAAAACAGGACAGAACGAACTGCTGAGCAGTAAACCCGTCCTTTGGTTAATAGACGGATATCTCGCCTTCATATCTCACTTCATCTGAGCTGCAGGCAGTGGGAGCGCAGGCAGAAACGACGAAAAGGCAACGACGTGTGTCCCTATCCTTCCGAGTTCTTACGCAGCCGTTTAGCCGAACAGCACATAGACGACTGTTGACGGGGATCCACTCTAGCAGTGCTTGTTCGGCCCTCATGCTTAGTGCTATGCCTACACCTGCCAGTCCACGAGAACTGGCCATCGGGTCACCAGATACACGGAGGGTGCATCTCGTTGGCTCTCCGTTTTGCCGAGGTGAGGTCAAGTGAATGAGCACACTAAAATCCTGTATGCGTGTTTCGGAGACACAGCATACATCAATGGAAAGAGACTCTACGGTTTTAGCCAAGGAAGCCTGCTGACCGATTTGACATAGGGTGCGTACGTTGAAGGCTCCAATGTGTAATTTGGAGCAAGGTTTCAGTAGACCTGAGACAGTTTTGAGCACTAGAATCGTTGGCTATGGTGACACTTGAGGAGGAAGCCGAAATAGGAAGTTTAGAGTTGAAAGTCGATGTAGGAGGAATAATAGGAATTGAAGAGGGAGGTTGATTATGAATACAGTGATCTTGGGTGCTGTTAGAGGTATGAGGGCGGTTATCACTTTCCGGTTGCCCACACCGTGGAAGGGTTCTTCTGGAGGTACCTGAAAAGGAAATTGGATTAGAGGTAGTCTTAGTGACCTGAGAGCGTGACCGCAGTGCCCAAGGGACAACTGCTTGAGGCCGGTCGCGCACGGCCTTTTCGTGGGAGGTTTTTGACGTGTTAGCTCCGTTCTTCAAAATGGCCTTACCGCCGGAGACGGAAATCCGTGAGGTAAGGTGAGGTGTGCATTTTTAGGGTCGACCTTTTCCAACCCCACCCCTTCATGTGGGAAGGCAGCATCGCTGTCATGCTGGTTGTCTGAAGGAAATACCTTACTGCTGTCACACCTTTGCACAGTCAGCAGAACGACTTCGCCTTCGGACCTTGGGTTTGTTGCTTTTAGTCTTACCGCTCTTCAACCGACCTGTTTAACATAGTAGGACCTTGAGGAACAGTTGTTCCAGCCAGTATAGCTCAGTTGTTTCATCACGACCACCACGTCAAGGTAGCAACAACGGTCGGGGTGTGTATAGAGAGATTTGCACGAACCGAAGGGGAGGACATCTCTTCGGTATATGCATCGCCAAGGTTTTATTATTTATTTATTTATTTCAACACACAGATATTAGTACAAAGAGGCACCAAATAAATATGCGCCACACAAATCTCATTCGATATGTGTGAGGGCTGTGATACTGCCCGGGTGTCAAGGTAATTAAGGAATACCTAAGATTTACCATAATCGTCCTATACTAATGATGTAGTACTGTCGCCCCATAATGCTGCCTCTTTTAGTTCTTTGGTTTATCTATGAATATAAGCTTTTCTTCACAAAATCTTCTAGACTTTCGGAGGATCGAGGAACAAGTATTTTGGCCTTCCCGATATTGAGGTCTTGTCTCATCGGTACTCAGTAAGTTAAATCTCTTGCATTCTTTTTCCCTTGCGGAGAAGGGTGTGAACCACCTTACTGAACAACAACAACATCCAATAGGTAGTTGAGCAAGATACAGCTATTTGCGTAATAGATCTGAAGACCATTCAAATGGCTTCATGCTGCACCTTAACTGGCTTCGTCGTCATTATCTGTCGGAGCCTCACCACCCAAATGTGAAGTTATCAGGTCTTCCCTACCACCACTACCAAACCTTGTTTTTCCACCTTATCTTTCTATATGGTCAGCAAGCGGCAATTCTTTACGGACTATACTCATCTCTTTATTTCATATCCACCATAGAGCACTAAGTCCCTTTCATTAGATTTAAATACCACTTTGCCTACATTTTTTCAAGCACACTTAGCTACCTAGTCTATGAACATTTAGCAAGGTGACCCAAGAGATATATTGAAGGAGTAGCTGTCTAAGTAGATCTTTTATTAACCCGAAGTCATTGTCATGTCTGAGCTTAACTAAAAACTTGGGACTCTGATCTAGAAAATGTAAAAACCGTTACATCGAGACGAAACTGATAATCTGATTAGTGAAAAGAAGGAATATTTTTGTTTATGATGAGTTGGCCTACGTAGCATAAAAGCACGCTATAAAAGTGAGCACTCAGATATACTTCGCTTTTAGGGTAACCCATAAGCCTAATATATTCTCCCCAAGCACCATCAAAGAGGCTTTGTTTCTTGGAAAACAAAACGAGGGAAAAAATTGCGTGTGCTCTTCAATTTGTTAGAGTGAACGCTGAACAATTTTCGAGTGAGTGATATCAGCATTTAATTTTTTTACACTCGAAAGCATCTTGAACATAAAATGAGCCGTTCATTAGTTTCTGTGACTTTCAGTAAAAACATATTCTTACCTGTAAAGACAAAGGGACGAGTGTCCCGTTAGCTAATTACGAAGTAACGTTACAAACGTTTTTACCCGGGTTTTAAACAATATCCAATATCCTCGTGATAAGCCTGAAATTACCGGTAGATTTCTTTGAGCTAGCTTTTTATTATTCCAGTTCGATTTAGGGTCTTTATCCAGTTTTCACGGGTAAGGAGAGGAGCTCGAATGACTTATATTAGTCTTTGAAATATAACTCTGCGTATGGTCTCCAATTGTTTATAAAACTAGAGAGAATAGAACAGATGACTTACAGTTCATAAGTCATTTACACGAAATCAAAATGAAGACGGAAGATTGTACCTTGATTAACTTCAGGTTTTACAGATTCCATCGTTGATACAGCTCTATTTATATTTACCCGTTGTCTCCAATTATTGAGAAAGTCAGAAGGGAGTTTTGTGGAGAATATAGTAATTTCAAATGTTGAGATCACGAGCCAATTCAAACTAGACAACTATGGAAACACTGAACAGCCGTTTCTTATCATTGTGCTACTCCTCAGCAGTGTGCATCAACGCCCCCGCACCGCCGGATTCGAACCCAGAAAAGCGGTAAATAAATGACCAAAATAAATAGCTCTGTAAGTTTTCTACGTTGGATGCTGACCACATTAGTTTTAATGGACTCACCTAGCTGAAGGCTCTCGGTCATGCATCCGCACCAGATCACGATTGGGAACGCCGTGCTCAACATTTTCTGCAATCGCTAGTCAGATTAGATCAGACGATCCAAACGGTATGGTCATAAATCCGATTATAGCATCCTCTCGAACTTTCACTATCATAGGATGAATATCGTCAGGACTTATCTGGTTTGAGATGTTCAAGTAGTCGTAAGACAGTTTCTTTCCAAATATCAACAAGATCCATCAACATGCTACCATTATCATAAATGGATATACACTAATGAGGATCCAGATACTGGAATCAAACAGCTGTCCAATGCTTTCAGGTCTTCAGTAGTGATCTAACATTTATCGATTCGTGATATTGATCATAATTAGTTGTCGATTTTTCACCATCGTTGTTATAAAACAGTCTACTAAAACATCCTGATAAAACTTCAGCTCTTACAACATCATTCATTGTCATAACAAACGGATTTTCTTGTGTCAAAAGCGGTGAAACTTCATCACTTTTCTGAATTCGTTTATTTATGTACGAGTAAAACCTCTTCTCCTAAAAGTCTAGTCCTACTTATCAAAGCCTTTCAAGTTATCCCTAGTCGTACGACTAGTGGATCGATGCTTTTCAGTGTTTATAGAGTTAACACACTCCAATGGTCTTTCCTTTTTCCAAGAATTTCTGGGACCTCGTTATTTATCTATGCTGGGCATTTATTGGGTATACGCGATACTAAGAATGGTATAAATTTACGTGTAACTAAATTAAGTGTGCATTTAAATATGGGTCATACTTCTGAAATGGTATTGGTTCTAACCACACAACCCTCGAAAATGAACATGAGACAACTGAAAATTCATATTCAACACTTAACACAGAGGTTAGTAATGATGAACGCCGTAACAATAAATCAAAATGAAATGACTCGATCATTCAGGCGCGGTCACATGTCCTCCCGCTTATCGCATCAAACATACTACTCTCTTCCCAGATGAAATGCGTTCTCTGGAATGTTAGACGTCATTTTACCGATTTTAACTATAGAACGATTCAGTGTAGATAATATTATGACTTTCGCGTAAAATCTTTTGGATTAGGTAATCACATAATGGAATATCTACATTTTTGGGATTAGGTCTATTATTATGATAGTACTATGAAATAAGTAGACCATTATTCTATACTTATACTGCTCATTTGGTTCTCGCAATACATTTCAGATCGGTGTTTATGTTTTGCTCTCCACACAGTTGTGGGGGGGTTAACGTGATTGTATATTATATCACAAGCTCCAAACATGAATGGCAAAACAATATGTTTCGTATTTGTTAACATTGAAAGAATATTTGGTAAACAATGTACTTGGTCATATGAATGTTTACTAAGTCTAACAAAGATGTTTGGTTTGAACCAAAAAGTTTGGGTTCAAACATGTTGTACTGAAACATCCTCCACTGCTGTCGTCTGAATCCTACTATCGAAAAAGTTTTAAGGTTCTACGGTAGCCACCTCTGTCCAACTAACATTAGAATCTTTTTATATCAGACATATTATTTTCACTCCATTGCTGTATGTGCTCTAAAACAAAGTCATCATTTCACCAGATTGGAATACATAGATGACACCAAGTACAAATGCACGACCTTCAAATGCGAGTTCATGATAAACGACTTTACAAACTTCACGGGTGATTGTATTATTTGCTATGCATATAAGTACCCAAACACCTTTCTTGAATCTTTACCTTTAGCTTTATACGTATTTGTATCCCGATAATTCTGGAGTGACGCTTAAGTCAGTTACTAGCCAATTTTCTGCCACAGCTACATTGAGTGGCTTCTATTTGTCCATTAATACTCCAAGTTGATAGAAGTTATTTACTAGACTGCGAACATTTGTGTAAGACTCAATAAGAACACAACTTATTCGTACAAGCCTTAATAGCATTTGCTTGCCAGACCTTACTGCTCAAAAACTCACGAATTGGAAATTTTCTTCATCATTTTGTCGACATGTTTATAGCTCAGCTAGTAAAGCTTTCCTTTTCATTCAACTTTCTAGGATAATGTCAAGTCTTACTCAAAAGTCAAGGTCATATTGACTTGGAATACTAGTTAACGAAATTCCTCGTTTTTTACCAAATATAGGATTACTTCAAGCAGTCTGCACGGTAGAAATGCCACATTTCCTTTGGTCCTTCTACTTATTCTTATTAATTATTTGATCCGAACTCATGTAAAATCATTTGGCAAGATGCTATGAATAAATGCTCCGACCTTTTCATACGCATATCTTATTTTCGGATCACAGTTGTTTGATCACAGCTAATTATTTTCTGTGGTCTTTGATCAGATCAAGCTTTCCTCAGCAACATTAAGGTCAAGTATGGTCTCAATTTGGGATTTTGGCGGTGCATTCGGTGACTCGTAGTTCACCAAAGGCTTTGCAATCGAAATGACGATGTTTATGGTTTCGACATTTGATGGGTATTAGTTTGGCTATTCGACAGAACTGATTCTATTAAGTTTGGTAGTCATTCAGGAGTTTGTGTATCTTGTAGTTCGAGTGTGTACGCTTGTCTTAGGTCAGTGTTGTACCTGATATTTAGCACCTATCACACAGCCATTGAGATGACTGCACCATCTAAATGTGAAAAATAAAGGGACAGTTCGTATGCTAGGATAAGACAGTGGTTTCAAGTAATAAATATGTTAATTATTTGGTGATACTGATAGTGTGGGAAGACTGAATTTTTACAATTGAAGAGGGGACGGAGGTGATAATAAGCGAAGCGGAAACAATGCAAAGAAATTTGCTAACGATAACAGTATATATAAGCTGTTCAGCTAGTTCAACCCGAAGACGATAGTCCATGTGTGAGTACGAGCTTGCCAGCCCCCCTCCTCTAGCCAGTCACTAAGTGTGTGTGATCCCTTTGTCTGGATGTACATTCCATACGGAGGTGAGTCTTGACGAGAAAGAGCGGGAACAAACCTGAGTCCAATAGGCAATTTCTCGTGGGTTGCCTTGATTATTGTGGTGGCTCGTCAAAGCGTTCTATCCACCAATTTTATTGCTCTTCGTCTTCAGGGATTGGTTCCCTTCGTTTTTGACTGACAGCCCTGATTTACCTACAAGCTTCGTTGTTGCATCATATCGTTGTCCAATATCTCTTATTTTTGCGGCCTTTCTGTTGTCATCGCAGTCTTCCTCATATTTCCGCTTATCAACTCTAATGCTTCTTCACTCCACCGTTTGCTTCTGTGTATCGCGTTTGTGTTGTTGTTAATTCCTTACTTCCTGTTCTTCCTTTCTCGAATGTTATCCAGGGTTTTAATAGATATGTACTCCTCATGTTGATGGTTAGTGCGGCCCAGAACATACTGTCACGTTGAATTTAGTGATTCTTTGATCCCTTTCCAATTATCCTCTACTGTAGTTTCTTCTTCTCCAGTAGATATTGCAAGGCATGGAACCTGTTGTTGAGAGCTATCTTGAATTCGTTGAGTTTATCAGTATATCGAAGGAAGGCTGTATTGAACCATTGTAATGCTGTATCTCCAGGTGTTTACTGCTTCTTTAGCTTCAGTTTCATCTTGGCGGCGACGATCAAGTGGTGATCTGAAGCTGCTAATTGTAATGTGGTCCAGTGAAGCCCATGCTGCCTTGTGTATACATGTGTATGGGGAAATAGTGCCACTTTTAATCATGTTGTTATAGGATTGCGTATATTGCTTTGCCACTTGATGCCTTCACACCTGCCACAGGACATCCTTGTATGCCAAGAAGACTACCTAGGTACGTAGATGTTTCCACCTCTTCCAGAGTTTCCCCATCAAGTGTGGCTTTGTTGGTGCTGGCCATATTGTAATTCAGGGTCCTGCTTCTGCCCCCATGTATCTTGAGGCCTAATGCTGCTCTACTGTCTGTCTCCACCTACATGTGTTGCTGTATGCAGAATAGAAGAAGTAGCTCATCTAAGAAATCCAAATCGTTCAGCTGCATCCAAGATGTCCACTGTATTCCGTGATTCCTCTGAAATTTGGAGATCTTAATAATCTACCTAACCTCCAGAAGAAAGAGGTAAAGTGATAGGAAGCAGGCTTTTGTGACAATTGTCTTCATTTGGAATGTGCCTGTGAGCTGGCCCTTTTACACAACTCACCAATGTCCTCACAGGAACTGTGTATGATGTGTTCCGTGCAGTTGACTGTTCAGCAACTGCCCACAATGTCGTGGGAATATTCACCCAATCGAATGGCACAGTTCAGAGCCGCAGACTTGGTCATTTTGTAAAATATGTATTTGATCACATTATGTATATTATATCTTTAGCCCAAATGTGTTCTTCAACAGCACTAGACGTTATGCTGCTGATTCCTACGATACGACGTGTTAATGTAGATAGTGATGAGGTTTTCACGTAAGATCTCATGAATTACGTAGTCACATCATGATAAGTCTACAATCTTAGGATTAGGTCTATTATTATAGCAATACTAATAAAGAACTAGACCATAGATCTACATCGGTGGGACCGACTAAACAAACGCAGCCAGTTATTAATCTTCAGTTTCACTTTACGTTCATTGAACAATTTTTACTTATGTTAACCCACTATTCTATTAGCCTCCTAATTAATACTCATGTGTGTTATC